TGCAAAAATGGAGCTTGGACGAGGAGGGGCGGGTCTAACTGTGAAACCGGATGCTCATTGGCCAATGACAAGTCACAGGATAATCGTCCATTAAGAATCCTGGAAACAGGATCTTATCTTACTGTCTGTGCATTTTGCAGACGCCAAAATATCATAGAAGTTCTAACTCATCATCATATGTAAGTGTTATACACACTCATATATATATATATATATATAGATATATATAGATATATATGGGTCTTATCAAATGCATTTGTACACAGTGACAGGTGATCATGAGTGATGTGTACAGGCAGGTCTGTGCAGTCAGTATAAGTACTGTCTGATGGTTATCTACACTGTGTGAGTATGACGTACACCTGGAGGAACACACCTGACCTGTCGCACAAGGTGTGACTCAAAGGTTCTGAGAGCGGGTCCACCTGTCTGCTTAGTCATCAACGTTTCCAGGTCCAAACTCTGAGGAAGACGGTGAAGAAGGTCCAACTCAGTCGAGGGATCAGCGTGGCTGTTCTCGCAGACACGCCGCGGTGTCCAGGCTGGGGTGTCGGCGAGGGGAGGGGTTTAAAGGAGATGCAGAACTGACTGTGAGCTAGTGGAGGCTCATATGGGTGGGGCTGAGAAGTTTTGAACGTACTGCAGAACTCATCTAGGGCTGTGATTGGCCGACGGAACGGGGCATCGTTACAGTAGTCGGGGTGGGAGGCGATGAAAGGCGTGAATAGAGGTTTCAGCTGCAGAGGCTGAAAGTCTGAGAGTCTGGCTCGAGTCTGGAGATGTTCTTTAAGTGGCAGGCTGCAGTTTCAGAGATGGAGGTAAGATTGGTTGGATACCTCATGAGCTAGAATGTCCAGGTCTCTGTAAAAGGTTGTGTCCCTGCTGGGTGGAAGCAAACGCCATCACGTGGCTGGAAGAAGACGCTGACGATGGACCAAACGCCCACAGCACGAGGCCAGTCGTTAATCTGCTCCTCTGTGGTTTGGACTACTCGCTGCGAACAAGCGCCGAGCGTTCAGGTATTTGGTGTCCGGGACAGCGTGTCAAAGGTCAAAGGTCTGCAGCACGTTAAACAGAGCCTCGTGCATCGCAGGAGACGCGTGGACCAGAAACAGGTCGATACGACAAAACAGTTCACCTGGTTTAAACTGAGCAGGTATCAGGATATCACCGAATTTATATCGGGTGACGTTTCTGGACGAGTTCTCAGAACCTTGTGATCACATCCAAGTCGCAGAGCAAGCACAGATGCACCAATACTGTATTTCTACTGTATTTCTACTGTATTTCTACTGTATTTCTACTGTGTGCGACAAACTACAGGAAGTAGTACATGTAAAAAGTCGTTTTTCAGCAGTTAGTGAGGAGGCAGGTCAGGACCGTAAGTTTGTGGACACAAGCTCTGCAGTTTCACACACACCACAGTGGACGCCAGCTTAAATTAAACTTGCATTCTCTCCAACGATCACCAGGGGGCGACATCTCTCCAATCTGATAGACGTCTATGAGAAAATGGGAGGTCAGTAACACTTATGGTGTCAGTCGGCGTCTCGGGTCTTATCGTTTAATTTGGAGATTGTGGTCTCATGAGTCCCTCACTCATACAGTCTGCAGCCAATCAGACAAAAGCTGTTGTTAAAAAGGGAGGAGCTTATTCCAGACTGCTCAGTCTGTGATGTGCAGAAGCAGAATGATCCAATAACTTACAGGCCTGAGCGTACAAACATAAACAGCACTGCGTCAGCGTGTGAGGAGATAAAACTGGGCGTTTCACATCGTGTTTGTTCACTCTGGAGCCTGAATGACACCCACAGAAACACACACTCATGTTGTTGTGTTTCCTCTGAGCTCTCACTGATTTCAGTCACAGACGTTTCAGTGACGCCTGCAGCTTTTTGTTGATATAAGAAAAACATGAACTAACGCTGAATGTGCCGAAACAGTTACCGTTACCGGCACAGCGCGACAGAAATGCTTATACTGGGTTTGCTTTAGTCAGCCTAGCTTTCATTAACCATTGTTTACATTCATCCTTTAAAATGGATTCAATTCCACTAAAAACACGCTGCGGTTACAGCTGGTTAGCTACAGCAGAGCTATAAATAAATCCAGACGGCTTCAGCTCTGTCGTCAGACTGCACCGGGGTTTCCTTTGAATAAAGCGAGCTCGGACGGTCGGGTCAGTACGAACAGCTGATTGTTTGCTGATTGTTCGGAAGGTGCAGTCGGATCGAAGCGAGCTGGGCGAAATCTTTGAGTTTTTCTGTGCTTTTGTGAATTTTCAGCAGGTTCATTCTGCTGGGCTGTTAGCTACCTCCACAATAACACCAACACAGAACATTTTAACTGTGGTCAACATCTGGATCACACCTCTGGAACAACATCTGCTTCAGCCAATCAGCATTTAGGATTTAGAGAGCCCTGCTGCTGATGTCATCAAAACGAGGGGAAAAAAGACGTGCGGAGATCAACGTGAGCGGTTCGACGAGTCGGACGGCAACATTGAAAAAATGCTAACACAACCAATAAGCATTCACAGCAGCTGGCCAGCTCACCTGAGCAACTACAGGTAGCTTACTGTGCACACGGTCACTGCCTGATCTGTACACGTGTGCAAACACGCTCACACTTCCTGTCACAGTTTAAAAGTAATATTTTTCTTGCTGCTATTACCTGATACCTACGTCTTCTGTTAATACGGCATATTTGTTCTTGTTTGTCTAAAGCAGCTGTTTATCTGCTGTTTCCCCTCAAACAGACACATTTATAGAGGAAATCTTTAACTTCATAGGTTTGATTGATAAATATCTTTAAACATGCTGAAAAAAATGTGCTTAGTTTGACTTTTTAATTTTTGCATAGTCGAAAGAATAATTTGTTACTTTGTAACTAATCCAAGTTTTTATTATTAACACGCTGAATCACAAAAAATATTTATTTATATTCGGTGGTTTTTAAATGTTGTCGATGTTGGCAGGAGAGCGCTCTGTGATGACATCACAAACACCGATTGGCTAACGCAGCTGTTGCTCAGATCTGCGTGTCCGTCTGAGATTCACGGTTCGGACTAAAGCTAAAACTTTATGAGACGCGAAGCTTAAACACAGTAGATTAAAACACATCGCTGTCGCCTCAGGCCGAGTAGAAACAAATCAAATCAAAATTAAAGCTCCATTAAAAACACACGTTATGGTATCGAAGCTCCTAAAGGTTTACATGTACTTAATGCCACTTAAAATATCCTTCAAATCATCGCGTGAAACTAATTACAACCTTCAGCCGTTGATTTTCGAGGCTTCTCCTGGGATTAAGTGAGAGTGCTGAGAAATAACCCGTGTGACGTAATGCCCAGTCTCAAGCCTGGTACCAACGTGGAGGCTGATACCAGCATCAGTAAGGGTGCATCTTTCATACAAACACACACTGAAGAACAGGAAGTGGAGGTGTCGATGGCAGCCAGCAGGTGGTGCTGATGAGAAATCATGTCGTGGGGTCACCGTCCCAACGTCGCAGCTACACACGACGATTTCCCCTCTAGTGTTCCTCTAAGAGCAGCTGGTTCTGAGGGAGGAAAAGACAGCGTGTTCAGAAAAGCTGAAGCAGACTCGTCTCAGGCACATTCAGCACATTTCATGTGTAATCCATCGGCTTTTTGACCATTTGTGAGGACTCTGTGCAGGCCAGTCAACCACACCAGTCCAAGTCTTTATGGACCTGCTTTTTGCACTGGTGCTGGAACAGGAAGTGGCCATCCCCAAACCGTCCACACATAGTTGGGAGCATGAAATTCTCCAAATTGTCTCTGATTGCTGAAGCATGAAGACTTCCTTTCATTAGAAGTAGAAGGCCGAGCGCAGCTCCTGAACTCTGACCCTACACCAAACTTTACACTTGGCACAGTGCAGTCAGACCAATAGCCAGCTACACATGGAGTGTACAAAGAAAGCTGAACAGCTATGTTGGCTACCACGTTGGATTGTTGGTTGCAAAACACAACACAGTCATAAATGTCTCATAAAAGCATTTAAACCTTGGTCTAATTAAAAGCTTCGTGAAATAAAGCTTTAGCTGCTTCTTAAAAGTCTCCACAGAGTCCAAACTCTGCAGAGCACTCCACAGTCCGGGTGCAACACTGAAACAAGTGTGAGGGACCACTGAAAGGTTTGGATTCGATGACCTCAGGCTAAAAGTTCATTAAGGGCGAGATTTATGGGCAAAGGAGCGAATGTTCAGAAGGCCAATCCAACAAAAACATGTCAGCGCGAGCTGGTTGCACCGTGGGATCAGCCACTGGTTTGGCGATGCAAGCGGCGAGGGCACAGCGGTAAGAATCCAGAGCATCCAGTGAGAAAAACTGACGCTGCAGTGGCTGCGAGGGCGCATTTCCAACCACAAACTGAAGAGTAACTGGCAACAAAAACCAGGGACGGCTCCAGTCCAATTGGTGGATCTCCGACCTGGAGGCTCGTCCAGGCTCGTCTGCTCCTGAATGAGAGCCCTACAGCCTTTTTCCTCAATATCTTCTTAGGATTCCCTGAGGTACGGTCCACGAATAGTAAAAAATATTCATGTGCCACAAACGGTGGCAGAGAAGTTCTCTTATAACTGACCCAGTCATCAAAAAGCTGTTTGATGTGGAGCAGGGAGGAACGGTCATTAAACACAGCAGCAGAGGTCAATGCATCGTCTGCATTTATATTTGAAGGTTTCCTGAATTTGTACCAAGGATGAATAGAACAAATCTTTGTTGTTCTTTTCTATTCGTGTATATTGTTTCCCAGTAACTTAAAACAGGGTTTAAAAATAACTTGGTTTGGGCTGAAACGCACACTTCCAACTGAAACCCTGTTTATCAGTTTGGATGAACTCGAACCCCTTTCTCGCCTCTGAGTGCTAACATCTTTTATTCCCACCTTACTGTCGGTGGTGTTCTGCATGAGGTCGTTGTCAGGGTCCCCTCCCTCCGAGCCGCTCTTCTGGTCATCATCCTTCCCGTCTTTCCCCAGGTCGTCCTCTCCAGACGAGATCCTCGACAGCTTTGAGGATTTCTGAGGCGTGAAAACGAGCATCAGCAGACAAACTACACATAGTTACAGACATTTAGCTCATAGTTCAACCAGACAACCAAACATCAGTGCAAATATCTTTAAAAGCCTCGGATCAGGAAGGTTAAAAAAACCCAAATCACTGCAAACCCCTTTGAAACCCTACGCCAGAAACGGACATGCAATATGTAAAGACAAATTCCACAAAGGCCAATTTCTGGAGGAAGAATGAATGTGAGGAAATGCTCAAAGAAGTGGAAAGACTTGAGGGACATCTTTGTTGGTTGTGTTGTGGAGCATCCAACACTTAGGCTGTATGCTGCACAAAGACTTCCTGCAGCCTGCAGCAGGTCTGCTCAAATAACTCATTTTAACAGAAGTGATGAATCAGGTTATGACGAGAAATGAATGAAATCTTATGTGTGACAAAACAGATAAAACAGGCAGCAAAGCAAAAACAAAACTCAGTGACAGCCCCTCCCCTCCCTGGTTCTGATAGAGGTCACTTCCTGTTCGTCTTCTTTCCCACTGTCACCAAGTGCTGCTCACAGGGAATCATCTCTAATTCTGCAACTATGTAACTGCGTTATTTAAAATAGATAAAGTTACATATGAGTCAAAGTCCAGACCTGAAAACATGATTTTAGCTTTAATATGAGCTCGTTTCTGTTTCTTTGTCCCCATCTGATTAACACACACACACACACTCGTTTTCATATCTGAATGAGGACATCTCATTGACATAATGCCTTCTCGAGCTCCTTACCCTAACCATCAAAGATGAACGCCTAATCCAAACCTCTACCCTAAACTTAACTGTAACCCTGACACTTGTGGGGACCTGGACTAGCATTCCAATGTGTTGTCCTCACATAGATGTCTAAACATGTACACCACACACAC